CACACACAGACACACACAGTCTAGACAAGACAAGGAGAGTGTGTTTGTATGAAAAGGGGGATTTCCAGACAGAGCATTGCCTGAGGTCGGACTCTGATATCAAATCAAAGTTGAGAAACCCCTTTTGTTCATCTCCTGTTGCTCTTCTTTTTTTTAAAATCTCGACATCTTTACTCCCATTTTCTACATTTTCGAATAAAAATCATCATCATCACTGTCAAAAATCCAAACTGATGACCTCATTCACTCAGAAACGTAGAGTTTTTATTGCAGCAGCTCCTGAAGAAAATCCAGGAAGTGAAAGAGGACAGACGAGTTTCACCTCATCATATTGGGGTGTCAGCTGTATAACACTGAGTTACCTTTTACTGTTGAGTTGCTACATGCAACGAAATGTACTGTGCAACCAAAAACCAGTCAACCTACAAAACATCAGTCCTCTGGTGCTCATAAACATATTCAACAAATGAATCAATAAGCGTCCAGATGAGGGATCTTTCTCTAGAGCAAAAGTTCCAGACACACAGATGGACACTGTCACCCGTCTAGCCCCGCCTCCTGCAGGACATAGATCCAGCAGCGTTTAAACAAGGGCTTGTGTTTGTTTGTGACTTCAAAACAGAGAACTGTGTGTGTTTGTGTGTGCAGTGTTCGCTAAGGAGAACCTTGTGTGTGCTGCTGTGATGGCTTGTGCGATTGTCACGCTAATTGTTTCCACGTTTGTGTGTGTGCGTGTGTTTGTGTGCACGCGTGTGGCTGGCGGTCCCTTCAGAGGAGAAGGCCACTTCAGAGCGGCCGTGGGACTGCCACAGGCTGACGGAGCCAGCGCTGCCACTTCACTCACTGTGTGCGTGCCTAAATGTGTGTGTGTGGGGAGAAGAGATCCACATATACAGTGTGTGTGTGTGAGTGAGAGAGAATAAGCAGAAGAAAGAGAGAGAGAGGATAAGAATATAAACATATTACTGCTGTTATAAGACACTCCACTGTGTTTAGTCAAAGTAGGCAATGCTTGTAGTGGTGGTGAATGTCCATGTGTGTGAGCATGTGTGCATATTTGTGTGTTAATGTGCTGTATGATGTTTCCACAGCACAAATAGGTCGCAGTGTGTGTGGGAGGAAATCAGAAACAATGCACCATCCGTATGGAGTGAACACCATTGAAGACGGTTGTGTGTGTCTCCATATCTGCGCCTACAGAGCAGTCATGTATTGTGAACATTAACCTATATCTATATCTATGGGTATGTGTGTGTGGGGGTGTGTGTGTGTTCTCACCTGTCTTCTGGCTCATGTCTGTGGGCAGGTGTGGGGGACTTGGGCTGAAGTGGTCGTTGCTGTAGGGCAGGAGGGACGACAGGGGGTGCATCCCGTGTGACTGCTGCACCACCGACACTTTGTTGGACTGTTTAAAGAAACACAACACAAAATTAATCTAGACAATAATCACATTTTATAGTTTTATACATTTGTCACAATTGAATTGTAAAGGTATGAGGTATCTGAATTGTAAAGGTATGAGGTATCCCTCTTTATCATGGCGTGTATTGCTGAGCTACGAGATGCATTCAACCAAACACAAAAGATTTCGAAGAAATATCTAAATTTTTTGTTTTTTCTTCTCTTTATAGAATCACTAAGGTTTCGAAACAAATGATAGACACAAACACACAAAGAAGCCAACGTCAGGGTCAGCTTTCTTTCCCTCAGCATATAGTTTGTCATGGCAAGAATGAAAAATAGATAAAAGAGAGCTGGACATTTTGAACATGGTGTGTAACAAACAGAAGGGCTGCACTTTGCTCCCAATGGTTTTCAGCAGAGAAGACGAGCAGGAGGAAGAGGAGGAGCATTTGATCGATAAAGCTTTGATCATCAAGTGTGACTGCACACAGGCGTGTTTTCTTTCATGCTTCTGTTTACAAATGTATTTCAATAAAACAAATGAATCTAGTTATTCAAATGCTCACAGCACGCAGGCTGACCGACAACATGTCAGAGCAGCGCGCACTGGTGAAGCTTAGCCAGCTGACCAGAGGTACACTGCATACGTTTTAAACAGGCCACACGCATCCTTTGGTGCGAATGTGACTTTGTGAGTGGGGGAATGTGTTTGAATTGATAGTGTGTGTGTGTGTGTGTGTGTGTGTGTGTG